GTATCTTGTTGCAGAGCTCCATGTGCGCGCTGAGTGAAATGAGCAAAGCTGCAGGTGCTCTGGTGCTCTCTGCAGTTTTCCTTATGAACCGATCTCTGTGTAGAAATGTACCTAAAAACCTGAAACACTGCACATCACTCTAGTCACTGTAAAAACGAACTGTGCTGACTGTGATATATCCAAGGTTTGTCTGTTGTATTTTGCCTTTGCTCCTAGCTACAATGCTCCACACGAAGTTATCCCAAGTTCTGCTGTTTCATCAAAAATACCAGTATCAACATTCAGTGTTAGGACTGAGTGAAGAGCTTTGGCACTGCCCTCGCAGCTTTGAGCCGTCACACCCGAACCTTTTATGTGTTTGTGCTGATAACCTCTTCCCCAAGTAAATCAGCACTCCTACTGCAAACTATCATAGACACATAAAATAATTCAAATTCCAACTGATTTTGTGTGAAATAAAATCTTCAAATATATGAACAATAAAGTTAGAAGCAAAAAGAACCAAGTCCACACCTTTCAGTCACAAAACTGACACCCTGCCTATTTAGCAAACCCTTAAAGTTTCCTATTTTTAAGGTAAAGGAAGGGTTTTGTCCTAAATCTAGCCCATGGTTCACTATCAGGAATGTTTTCCAGTTATGCTAAAGCTCCATCCAGTGACAAAGTTAAACAGAGTTATGAGGATGCGATGAAAGGGTGCAGGAAGCAAAGATGCCAAAAGAGAGAGATTTTGTTCCCTAACAGTGTTAAATGGAGCTAACACGTGGTATTTATATGTAATAAATGATAAAAGGTTCCGGGTATGATATGTAGGTCTGGAGCCAGCCATCTTCAAAGTGCATTTGAGGGACAGAAACATCCTCCATGATGGTCCGATAGGGGAAAGGAAATGAAGAGAAATAAGTAATCGTAATGAAGAGCAGACTGTTTTTTGCAGCACAGGATTTTTATCAAATATTTTCCTCCATTGGAAACATCTAAATTAAGACAGGGATGTTCAGAATAGCTGCAGAAAGAAAAACAGGATGAAAGTGTTTGCATTGCTGTTGCAGGGCTTCTTTTGTTGGAAACGAATCAAAATCAATTTCAGCAAATGGATTAAAGAAGCACATGCACACCATCCTGCCATAGAAAATAAAAAATAAATCAGTTTGTGTTTTTCTGTTATGTTTAAACTGATTTAATTCCTCATAACACCAAATGTGGATCCCATTGGCTCATGTGCACCACTAATATAACTCATGCGTATTTCTCTTATCACGTATTTGCTTCAACAAACACAGATGTCGCAGCACCGTTTGCCTTCCCAGTGGACCTGCAGGCGTACCCCACGTACTGCACAGTAGTGGCCTACGTCACTGACCTCAGCACTATACGCCAAAGGCTGGTGAACCGCTTCTACAGGTGCGTCCCCTCGGGTTATCAGATACGGAGCGCGTGTGAAAGAGACCGACCGTAACAGCTGCGTTTTCCTTTCAGGCGGCTCTCCTCTCTGATGTGGGAGGTTCGCTACATAGAACACAACGCCCAGACGTTCAACGAGCCGGGGTCGTTCATCGTCACCACCGCCAAGTTTGTCTCTGACCTCATGCTGCAGTTCATTAAGTGAGCACATTTAATGTCGAGCGTTGCTAAATCACAGTTACGTGATGTTAAAATAATTATCTGAAATGTCCTCCAGCTTTCCCAACAGCTGCAACAGTTGACTTTTTGGGTTTAATAATTTGACATGAATATTTTTTAGATCATTGACCCTGTCCTATCACAGAGGAATAACTCCTGATTCCTCCTCATTTCTTCCACAGGGACCAAAGTCTGACAGACATCATGCCCCTCTATAAAACTATGAAGAAGGCGACCTTCTCTGACTCTGAAGATGAGGTGTGTGTGACTGTCCGTGTACATGCTTACGCTGCATTCATTCACACGATGATCCGGGCACGTTAAGCGTAAAGCTTTGAACACAGACACTAATCTCGCTTTTTCTCCTTCTTTTTTTTAAATTATTGAGCTAAAAAATATAATTAATTAAGCTGACAGAGAAACATGTTAGATTATTTTTCTTTTATCCTATT